ACAATCAGTTTTTTAGTTTAATAAAATTGTTATTTTCGGTTTATCTTTTTAAGTTTTCAGAGATTTCAAATCAATATATATTATATTAGATAATGAAAGTCCGAACTGATGAAATACTGATGAGACTTGTGGCACTTCTAACGAGGGCTGTCTAGTGCGGAGTCACGATTGTTCTGCTTTCGTGATCTGGTATCCATACTATTACTATACGATATCTAATACTATAGGAAATATTTCATATAGTATTCTAATATGTAAGCCCACACGTCCGCCCCTGGTGGGACGATTTTGATGAATTAATCTATAATGGTTAAGATTAACAGTATCGCTGGTAAAGACTGAGTGTAGCCAAATTTCGGATACCCCTACAATATCACAATTTGCACCTATAACTTGTTTTTAGAATCAAAAAAGTTTGCCACCAGTGATCTCTTATTGAAATGAGATATTTGTAGTTTCATTTCAATTCAGCTATTACTTACTACTGAGATTTCAGAGATGGAAAAGGAGTGAGAATGAGAAAATGAAATGAAGAAAATACTGAAGGATAGATCACACACGTAGACAATAAATATTCAAATTTCACCTCAAATTTGACTTGAATATATGAGCAGAAAATCATAAATCATGCAGGTATCAGCCCCGAAATATAAGAATATATTTTGAGTTTGAGAAGCTAACTAGCTGATAAAAAATAAGAACCAAACAACAAATAATAATCCAATGGATTGAAAAATATACATGTTTCGTTGTTAGTACAAGAATATTACGTTAAGTCTCGTTTTAAACTACTCACCGAGATGAGTATTTTACTGTTTACGTCCGTAAAAGAACTTGCAAATCGTTTAAATGCATTTCAGTAGAAAAGATATAATGTACCTATTTGATGCATAGAAAAACACTCTCCTGCTGTATTCGATACACGCATTCATTATTCTTCACGAAAATGTTGCCGTTGCGACACCACACATGTTTCTTCGTGAATTTGTCAATGGCACTTTTCATCAGGGCTGATCTAAATTCCGTTAAACCTTCTTGTATGGATATTCCCGTTGATTTCAGGTGATTTTTTCGATAACTCAAGATTTTTTCCGAAATATTGCACATTTTTATTTCTCGATATTTTTTACATGTTGTCCATCGCAATTTTCAACTCATTTTCCTTTCTTCAGAGAAACCAAATCATTTTTAGGATCTGATATCATTTGGTTATGTTTGCCTGGAATATCTTGATAATTTTGTCCACTACACCTAGTAAATATTCTTCATTTTATTTTTAATGGTTGCTATTTGATCGAGATCCCGACTTGTAACACACATTGTTATTACCTTTTTAATCGAAGCAGGCGGTATGAACAAAAACAAAGGGTGCTGGATATTACAGAAACTTATCTATATCTTCACTCAATGACACGAAAGGCTATAACGTCATTACTTCACAACATGCATTGAAATAGTAAATTATCAGGACCGATGCGACAGCGTGAATTACTCATTTGCCATCTTTAAACGTAAGTATGTGTTTTTTATCATTATCTTTTAAAAATATTTCAGTTGGCTATTCAACACTTGTAGTTCCTACAGATAAATATCAGTTAATTTACCATTAACATAAGGTCATTTATGACACCATTGGTTCAGTACATCTTTTTGAATTGTTTTAGCTTGTATCACTTTTTCGAAAAGCTAGTTTATATCGAAAT